CCCCCCCATGCCGTCTCTGGTGAATCCTCTCACCACTCCTGCATCTCTGGCCTGTACCCCAGTTCTGCATGCATTAATAAATCTTTAAAAAATAAAATGAAATGAAATATCACACATAAAGGAAGTCCTATACAATAAGGGATTGAAATTGACTTTGGAAGACAAATATATGAAGCCAAGTAAAAACCTGGGAGGAAGAAATGATACTTTTTTTTTTTAAAGAAAGATGCAAGGAGAACAAAGAGAGGGAAGAATGGAAGAAAAGGCAGAGACAAATATGACATGAATTACTATATATAAGCAATTTCACATTTAGAAGGAATCTTTACAATGCCAACATATTATACTAAAAATAAAGTTCTCATTTACTTATTTTTATTTGAACTTCAAATGTCAAATAATCAGCAGCCAATAACTTTTTGTTAATTCCCATTGCATTAATGGCACTTCTATTATTCCACCTAACTTCCCTTCTCTCCAGGTCAAAGTTGCAAAGATAGGAGCCCATGTTCTGTCAACAAGATATGAAACGCAGTACATCCATGGTCCAATAGCATCAACACTTTGTAAGTTGTTTTTTTTTTTTTTTTAAAATTTATTTGTGCATACAAAACTGGGGTACATGCCAGAGGCTCAGGGGCAGTGAGAGGATTCACCAGAGACAGAGTGGGAAGCAGAACAGACAGATCAATGAAGTACACTGCTGAGGGGAGCAGCGGATGGGTCAGGAGAGGTCTGCTGCGCCATGTGGATCACCTCCGGGGTAGGTGGGAATCGAACTTATTCAGAAGTGGTTTTAGCTTCTTAGTGCTACCCACTACCCGCTGCACCACTAGCGAGGGCCCAACAGTTTGTAAGTTTTACCTATTATTTATTGTGTTGCTTTCCTTTGCTCTTTTTAATATGTTTTTAAAGAAAATTATATAATTTGTAAATAAGGGTTAAAATAGCAAGAATCATTCATTTAAACTCCAGTCTTCAGAGTAAATTCTAAATTGTGAATCGAGGGAGGAATTCTACCTTTTATTCAGGATAAGACTTCCTAGTTGCAAGATCAACAAGTCATTAAATCAAGAAAAATATATAGGCTTTACTCCATCTACCTTTCTGTTCTCTACCACTAAGCACTTTATTCTCATGGGAATTTATTTAACCAATTAACATTCATTTGACTATCATTCTTTCTTGACCTGTCCACATCCACATACAGTCTTTTTTTTTTTTTTTTAATAGAACTGGTGTGTAAGCCAGAGGTGCAGGTGTTGAGAAGATTCACTAGAAACCTCAGGGGAAGTAGAACAGGCAGGTTTACTGAAATACACTGCTAAGGGCAGCAGTAGTTGAAACAGAGCAGGTTCTCTGTGCTGTGTGGGTCAGCCCCATCACAGTCTTTGTCCTAGTTACTGATAGGAAAATAGATAAGCAAATTGTGTCAACCACTTTGATCATGTAAAACCATTTCCTATCCTTCTCACCAACCATTTCTTATGTTCAGCAGAGATCTATAAGGTGAATTAAGAAAAGAAGTCACCAGATTCTAGTTATGTCACTTTGGGTTTTTTTTTATTTATATATCTATTTACATTATTGTTCATTTTACAATGCTTACTTCCCCCACCTGTCATCACCATAGTCCCCCACATTCTTCCTTCCTTCTGATCCTACAGGTGAGGGGGACAGAGAGGTGTTACTTTGTTTTTGTTTTATTTTCTCAGCATTATTTCTTGCTCTTTAGTAATTTTAAGCTTTCTATATTCTTGTGATTTTTTAATTATTCACTTTGATTTCTTGGCTTTTGTTTTCTCTTATTCTATGTAAAAGGAGTTAGCAAGCCTTCCTTTAAAGGCTAGATAGTAAATAATTTTGACCCTTTTTGCCTCTGTTGCAGTCACACAATCAGTATCTTATAGCTTGAAAGTAACTGTAGACAATAAATTACAAATTCTGAATACAAAAGACAAAGAAAAAAATCTGAGAAACAACCAGAAAAAAATGTAGGATGGTAAAACAATTCAAATGATAGCATTTGGAGTTGGGATCATAGAAATTAAAAAGCAATTGAAAACATTTTTCAAGATCTAGAAGAAAAGAATTATCAACCCTACGTTCTAGATTCAGTAAAAATATCCTTTAGCAGTAAAGGAGAAATAAATACATTCTCAGACAAAGGAAAGTTAAGAGAATGTGTGCCTGTATATCTGTCCTTTAAAAATAACTAAAGGCAGCTATTCAAATAAGAAAGAAATAACAGAAAACTTGAAATTTCAGAAAGTATAATAATGGATGTATTAATTAACAATATTTCTTTTCATAACAGTTGAATTAAAAATTCCCATCCCATATAATGTGATGGACAAATTTGGAGAGAATTACATTTCAAATGCAGGAAGAGAAAAACAAATGCTTTTTCTCTCAAATGCTAAATGCTTTAGCCTTCTACATCTCATTTTATGTAAGAAAACATAAATAACAGCAGACTATGGCATTTGTATGGATATTGTAAGACCTGAAGCAACCACTAAGAAAACTTTTGTAATGTACTCAAAAATATTATAAATAAATCAAGTAGGAATCCTAAAAATGCTTATGCAACCAATAAGAAGATAAAAGAGAAACAGGAATAACAAAACAAAGGAAACAAAACAAAAATGAATAGTAATATGGCAGGATCAAGTCACATCAATAATAAGCTTAGTTATATTAGTCAAAAGACAGAAATTACCAGAGTGGATTAAAGTGGTTCTACATGTACTATCTACAGAAACTCACTTTACAGATAACATGGTTAAGGTGAAATGGAAAGGATGGGAAAAATATATTATGTAAATGATGTCATTTTTTAAATTCAGGAGTCCTTGGGTTCACTCTAGGAAAGGTTTCACCAGAGCTCCCTTTCAGCAGCACATGGTGAGATTCTTCATGAGACAGAGACTCAGTTATATTTAAAGAGTAAGTTTATTAGAAAGAGACAGGAGAGGGAAAGACACTTGCATAGGTGCAAGTGGGCAAGAAGAGCTGCCCAGAAAGGGACAGGTTTGCAGGGCGACAGGTGATCTTAGGTGAGAGGTCTCCACTGAGGGAGGTCAGTGCAGAGAAGTCCCGGCATGATACAGGCCACTGGCAGGCAGGAGGCTGCTGCCCTGCAGAGGGACAGCGGGTGGAAAGAAGCACCTGCATAGCCACAGGTGGACAGAGGAGTCGGCTGCCCCTTGCTGGTGGAGAGACTGCTCTGAGAAGGACAACTCTTTAGGAGGGACTCACTCCTTGTTGATTTTGAATGGAATCTGAGAGGACCTAGAGATTCCCTAGTGAGCTTCATCTCCATATCCTTATCTTTTACCTTTTGGGTCTGAGCTTCAGACACAGCCCCCAACAGTCTCTTATCTGCTGGGACCTCCTGCAGACATCCCAATATCCTGGCACGTGGGCACCAGGCATCAGGCTTTGGTGCCTGAGGATCTTGATTTTATGGCTGTGCCAATTGCTTCACTAGCCCCTTCTACCTGTCCCCTTTGTGTGACTCAGTCTTGTGATGCTTCCCCTGCGTTCCTTCCTCCATCATAAACATAAAACAAAAGATAAGTGGCTGTATAAAATATCAGATAAAATAAATTTCAGAACACAGAAATTTGTTGGAGAGGGATATCAATGACAAAATAATGAATCCACCAGGGAGAATAACCCTGAATGTGTGATGTTTCTACCAAACAAAAACTTGTATTTCCCAGCCTCCCTCCTGAATGTCTGATAGATACAAAACAATTTCTTCTGTCTCCCTTTACTTTCTTTTCTCCATCATTAACCTCTCTGAGTTCCTTTTACTGTTAATAATAGGCTGAATTTATTTTCAACTGCCCAAGTTGAAACCTCAGATTTTTATCAACTTCTACTATGACTTTTCTATTCCAATGTTTCCTAGATAGAGACCTCAATTTTTAATAGTAATCCTGCATTAATTCAAGTTTTCATTTCACAATATCTCCCAAAGCTTTCAACTATTTACAATCCAAATGAAACATCCTAAATACAACACAGAAGTGACCACAATTGCCTCCCAAAGCAAAATCTAAATTCATTTTGAGTTACCTAGTTTTCTAGATGTTGCCATTCTCAGTGCTCTCTTTCTTCCAGTACTGCTGGATATCATTCATCCCTAAAAATGCTTCCATGATTTTTCACCCTGTGGGTCATTGGCTAGAATACCTGTCTTCTATCAGTGTCTAGAAAAATGCTATTCTTTCTTCAAGTGTCTCCTCAAATACCACCTCATCACAAAGGTGATTGTTGAGCAGTTGTTGAGCATGATCACCATTCTCCTCACCAGGCATAGTATCTTTTTTTCCTTAGATATTAGGAAAATATTTTGCCTTTTCTATATTCTGCTTTGTCTCTACTGATCTGTATCTTTGACTCCTCTCTCCTTAATTTGTAAGTTCTCCAGAACTCCAATAGCAGCTTCTTCATCTTTGGATCCTGTACTAACCATTCTTCACAATGTCAGTAAAGTGCATTGAGCACATTAAAGATTTAATAAGTATTGGCTGAATAATATGAGCCAACCCTACCTCTTTACAAAAAATAATCATTTTTTTGTTCATTACAGTTTTGAATTCCTATCTTTAAAAAGCTAAGATCAGTTTAACTTGAATATAAATTATTATGAAACAGTTCTTCTGTTATGTAAGACAAATATACATAAATGCATTTGTAAAACTTAAATGCACTTATATAATGCATATTTTCAATATTCTTCACCAAATATCCTCAGAATAATTTCATAAAAATAGGCATGGAAAAATTAGATTAAGGGATTAAAAATATCATTGAATTAACTAAAATAAGCTCTCTTGAACTTCTAACAATAAAACCACAACATGAATAGCAAGAGACCTGAACTACTAAAGTGAATGTGATTTTGCATAGCTTATGTATATAGTTTACTTTGATGAGTTTTCTGTGACCAGTGATCCATCCTCAGTAGTTTTCTTCAGTTGCTATACTTATTCAACACTCCATCTGCTACAATATGTGTCCAGGAAACAAATTAGAGTACTGACTCAAGTGATGCAATTTTGAAAATTTAGCACATATTTAAAATGTGTAATGAATTCCAATGCCATGATTATTTTTTACTCTCTACTATGCAGACCATTACTTCCATTCATGACCACAATTAACTGTACACACAATTATTTTTATTGCTAATTTTACTTCAGTGAATCCATTTCAAAAAAAAGTTAGCATTTGTTTCTAATTAAATATTAACTGCTTATGTTTTACAGATCCCATATCAGGTTCTTCTTTAGACTGGGCTTACAACTTGGGCATCAAACACACCTTTGCCTTTGAGCTCCGAGATAAAGGCAAATTTGGTTTTCTCCTTCCAGAATCTCAGATAAAGCCAACCTGTAAAGAGACCATGCTAGCTGTCAAATATATTGCAAAGTACATCCTCAAGCATGCTTGCTAAAGAGTTTTCATCTTTGTGGAATAAGCCTAATAATCTTTCTTTATGCCTTTCACAAGAAAGTTATCTTCAATTAGCTCTAGATGTATTCTTCTCATCACCTGAATAGGCCCCCTCTCCTGCTCACTCAACTACTAGTTATTTCTTTTTGATTTTATTTTATCTCAGCAGTACCTTAAAAGAGGTGCCACTAGCTATATGTGCAAGTTTTTATTCTCTTTCTTTGTTTAAAGTAAAATCTAAAGCCAGCATATGGCATCTGAGAGATTTAAAGGTGAAGTAAGCCATACCAAGAAATAAAAACCTTCAATTTCTCTAGAATCTTATCTTTACCATGTAATTTCATCATTTTATGTAATGATAGAGTAAAAATAAAAATGCATCCCAATGCTTTAAAAATGTATGTTTTGTTTTTGATAAACTATACTCACCACATTGCTCTAATAGTTAATCAAGCACCAGTGTTTACCTTGCAGTCTGTGAATAAGAAAGAATGTCTTTTATTTTTTTTAAGATTTATTTATTTTATGCTTACAGAACTGGGGTACAGGCCAGAGGTGTAGGGGCGGTGAGAGGATTCACCAGAAACAGGGGGGAGCAGAACAGGCCGACTGATGAATCACACTGCTGAGGGGAACTGCAGATGGGTCAGGAGAGGTCTGCCACACCATGTGGGTCACCTCCAGGGCCAGGGATCGAACTCATGCTGAAATGAGCTTCTCAGTGCTGTGCTTTAACCCACTACACAACCAAGGGAAGTCCCAAACATCTTTAATTTTTAAAAATATAAGTTGCCTGCATATTTTTTAGCAGAATTAGATATTGTTTATATCTTCACATTAGCAACAGGGTATTCTATCAAGAAATAAAATGATTCAAAGTGGTTAATAAAGAGATGAATGTCAGTGCTTTAACAACCAATACAGTTTTTATCAACATAATGTACATTAAATTCAAAACTGTTGTTATTTAACCTGCCACTACCAGAAGAAACCATCTGCAAAACACCTCATATCAATTACGACACAACTCTTAACAGTCTGGTCTAGTATGAGCCCTGCCCTTGCAATGCACAAAAAGGCTGCCTGAAAATATAGGCCAACCTGAATAGAGAAGTCCCATTGAGTAGTAACTTACCACTGTCTGTTAATACAGGTGTCTGACTAGGATTTGAAGTACAAATACAAAGATACTTTATGAGTTTAAAGATACAAAGTTTTATACTGCATTTTATTTGAACTGCTATGTAGTTTAGTATTTCTTGACTTAATCACAAAAATGATTTGGGAGTCTAAAAGTCAAAAATCCTCACAAAACCATTCCATATCTTAATTGTACAGCTCTTAAATGGATTCTGAGCTTTTTTACTTCATATGAATTGTGATGATTAAAGATTAAATATGCAAAAAATATTAAATACACAAAAAATATATCCATATCATTGTTACAACTTTGATCTCATTGTAGGGAAGTTTGGGTAGTTAGTGCTGTTATTCTTTCCCTATCATTTCCCATTTAGTAGTTAAGAACTTTGTACTCAAGTTACAAGTTATGCTACCTCTTACAGTATTTTTCACAATATGTCTCAAAAAAATATCTTTTAACTCATCCTTCCATTTCTAGTTTTCTGACTATCAAATTCACCCAACTTTGAAAGTATATTATTATGTCACAACTATATAATGAGAGATACACATCTTCCTGATTCATTTTACTAATAAAATTTACCAATAATGCCAATAAATTAGTTGCCTGTGGACACTATGACTCCAAACTGATTTTAAAATGGTGTATCGTAAATATCCACCTTACACCCTAAACACAAGATACATTCTGGACCACATCTGTACTCCTTGATTAAGTAAACATGTTTCTGTTTCTAATTTATGATGTCTATGCCTGTTTTGTTGGATTTTAAAAAAAGAAACTAACAAAGAAACATGCTAGATAATAGCTACCTAGTAACATGCTTGTCAGATCACTGACAACACAAAAATTCTCTCTGATAGCATGTATTCTCTTAATGGACTCCATCTCCCAAAAGTATTTAAATTATTTTGTCCATTTCAAATGGATTAATTTCCTGAACACTGGAAAAGATCAAAGGCAGACAAATCCTATATTCTACCACATGGCTCTTAGTACTATCAAATAAATTTTTACTTTCAGTATAGAAAGTGTAAATGATAATTTTTCTAAAAAGAATATTTATTGGTCAAAAAAATCTACACTGAATGCTATAGAAATAAATCAATCCAGAATTTCCTAAGATATGAAGCAGCAGTTGTAAGCAATCTTAGGTGGACTCTCATTTATGTGAGTACCTATAAGAAGTAGTGAGCTAATACATCATAGTGATATAGTCAACAATCGTATATCAATAGTTGCAAAGTCTCTAAGATCATAATTGTTCCTACCACAAAAATAAAATTATACTTATTAAATGATAGAAGTATGGCTCTTGGACTTTTTGGTCAGGAACGTGTAGGACTCATCATTTTACAGTCTAGGAACATAATTTCAAGGACCTCTGACATATACACTCAAGCTCTTCTCCATTCTTCTTTCTCTTTGACTGAAATACAATACTGATGACTGATACTGAGCAATCATCTTAGCTTATAAGGTAATCTTAAAAATGGAATCAAATAATATGAAAACAGGAGCCTCAGCTCCCTGTCATAACAGTTCTAGATATGTCTTCAGTGGGGAACACTGAGGGTGATTCAGTATAATGCAAATCACAGGACTAGAAATCAGGGAGTTTGGAATAAAATCCTAATACCAAATGATATCCAGCAAGTAGAATTATATCAAAATAAAACCTACCAAATAGCAAAAGAGGCACTCGACAAAATGAAAACACAACCTAAGGGTTGGGGGAAAATATTTGTAAATCATCTACCTCATAAAAAGTTAATGCCCCAAATATATAAGGAACTCATGCAACTCAATAGTGACAAAGAAAGGAAGAAAACAATTTAATTTCAAAATGGTCAGAGGACCTGAATGGCATTCTACAAAGAAGACATACAAATGGTGAGTAGGTCCATGGAGCATCACTAGTGATCAGAGAAATTCAAATAAAAGAACCACAATGATGTATCACCTCATTCCCATGAGAAAGGCTACTTTTTAAAAAGATTTATTTATTTATGCAATCGGAACTGTGGTACAGGCTAGAGGTGCAGGGATGGTGAGAGAATTCACCAGAGACAGAGTAGGGAGCAGTACAAGCAGATTGACAAAGCAGCAGGGGAGACAGGAAAGGTCTGCTACACCATGTGGATCACCTCCAGAGCCAGGAACTGAACTCGCACTGAAGCTGCTGCAACTAGCTTGCAGTGCTGTGCCCTAACCCAGTGCACCATCAGAGAGGGCCAGAGAAAGGTTATTATTAACACTAACAGGTGTTAGTGAGGTTGTAAGAAAAGAGAATCCCTGTTGGTAGAACATAAATTGATGAAGCCACTATGTGAAACTGTATGAAGTTATCTCCAAAAATTAAAAACTGAACTACCATATGGGCTAATAATTCAACTTTTTGGTCTATCTCCAAAAGAAATGAAATCAGGGTCTCAAAGGAATATCCACATTCTCATCTTGGTTGCAGCATTATTCACAATATCCAAGACATGGAACCAATGTAAATGGCCATCATGGTTGAATTGATAAAAGAGATATGATCTCTTTTGATCTATTTCTGTGTATGTGCATGTATGCATAATTCAGCAATGAAAATTAAAGAACTCCTGCCATTTGTGATAACATGGATGGTCCTTGAAAGCACAATACTAAGGGAAATGATTTAGAAAAAAATAGATAATAAAATATCAAATTAATATCACATACTTGGAAATCTAAAAAAGCTGAACTCACAGCAACAGAGTGGAAAAGAAGTTGTCACTGGTAAGGGGATGCAGATAGGAAGATGTTGGTGATAGAGAACCAAATTCCATCTATAAGATGAATAAATGCTGGGGATATAATGTAAGGCATGGTGACCACAACCAACAAAACTGTATTGTATACTTGGAAGTTGCTAAGAAAGTAAATCTTAAATGATTTCACCACACAAAAAAATAATTATGTAAGGCAATGTAGTTGCTGATTAACCCCATTTGGTAATAAAATTATAATAAATACATGTGCATCAAATATCAATTTGTATACCTTAAATTTACAATATTGTGTAGCTGAAAGAAAGGAAAAAATACATGACCATTTTGAAGGCTGTGAAAAAAATTTAGCTGCATATGTTATAAAAATTTTAGGCGGCCCTCCCTGGTGGCGCAGCGGGTTAAAGCACAGCACTAAAGAAGTCAAAGCCACTTCCGCATGAGTTCGATCCCCACCTGCCCCGGAGGTGACCACATGGCGCGGCAGACCTCTCCTGACCCGCCCGCTGCTCCCCTCAGCAGTGTACTTCGTCGATCTGCCTGTTCTGCTCCCCACTCTGTCTCTGGTGAATCCTCTCACCCTCCGCATCTCTGTCCTGTGCCCCAGTTCTGAATGAATAAATAAATCTTAAAAAAAAAAATATTTTAGGCAAATTTACATATTTCCCTCAAAAAATTAACCCATCAAACAGTATTATTTCAGGGAACAACAGTCTTATCAGGAATCAGATCAAGTTCGGATTATCTCTCATCACCCTGGAAACCTTTTCATTCAACTGGTGACATGTAGAAAATTATGAGAGGAATTCAAATTAGGAGTAACAAATACAGGCAACCTTCCAAATTAAAAGGTTTTATGTAAAGCCACATTTAAAGAGACATTTACTAAATAGTACAGCTAATATGAATACATGGCAATAGCTCCAAGATTATGCCTTTATACATCTTTCTGCTTTTCAACTCAATTGTATTCCATGATTAAAATACCAAGTCATTTTTCTGTAATGAGTAGAAATGAGTCATAATAGCATCTTGAAAATTTCAGCTGCATATAGGCTACTGTCAGAAATTTCTTAGGCAAAGCTTTTGGGAGACTCTCTTGCATTTCATTGTCACAAAATCCATTATACCAGAACAGATCTCAGTCTGCCTGAGAACATCTATCTGAGGATTATAATTTTGTCATAAAAATTTACTCTCACATGAACGTAGCATAAAAGGTCTCCGTCCAGAAAATAGGAATTGAAATGGATATATTATCACATGAACTGCTTTTTTGCTCACTTATCCTTCAATTACAAGCCTTAAGTTCACTGGTGTCAAGAGAGGTTAAACCAGAAAAATGTAAAACAATTTTTGAAATATGTGAGGGAAATTTGACACATAATGTTCCAATGGCATTATTATTGCCATGGTATTGCT